ACCAAATCAATCCCCATTTATTTAATTAGTCTCTTTTGATCACAAAATTAATTCCAAATTAATTCTTGATCAATACTAATTAAATAATATGATTTCATATTAATATATTAGAACTTATAATATATTAATAAACCATAAATAACCTCTTCTCAAAAGTCCATCCTATCAAATTGTTGTGGTGATATGCAACCCAAATGAACCATGCTACTCTCGGGTCAAGTACATACCAATTATAGTTATGGACTTAGACACTAATCCAACACTTTATACATAACAAGGTCAAAAACTTTCAAGATCTAAACTTTATGCACTTAAAGTGACCTAAAGCTCATAACACCCAAAACTAGCTAGATCTAACAATTTCATCATCAAGATTCAAACTTTATACCTCTAGAAGAAAGATCAAGGTGAACAAAGTTTGGATCTACAAACTCCAATGCAACCAACACTTCTTCAATCAGTTCCTTCTTCTCCAAGGTTCATCAAGAACACTCCAAAGCACTTAAAAACACCTTTTTTCACAAGGCTCAATCTAGGGTTAGGGTTACAGGAGAGGGTGTTGGAGAGGTGGAGGCTGAGAATAGAGTGGGTTTGGGGAAGTTAAAGAGCTTAAATATGGCTCAAACCACAGAAATATGGTTTGGGCATTGATCGCGTATGCCCAGCATACTCAGGCATACTCAATACACTCAACGTACTTAATTTACGTCCAACATACACGACTGACCTAAAAATCGCCCTAACTTCAAACGGTCATAACTTCTTCGTTTCAACTCCGATTTCGATGATCTTTATATCCACGGAAAGGTGTTGAGAAGATCTATAACCATATTAACTCTCATTTTCCTTAAAACTTATCGAACTTAAATCCCAAATTCATACAAGGCTCAAACTATCACTTTACGGTTATACCCTTGGGCTCCAAAGCACCAACCGAACTCTCAGATCACCTAATCTACAGTACCCACACTCAAAGGGGACTAATTTCTTTCACAAAGGCCCTAAGCATTATGATAACCGGTCCTCCGGTCACGACCCCGAATTATGAAAAGATTCGAAACAGGGTGTTACATCCCCCATAGTCTCTTCCGTCTGACGAAGGTCCTAAAACTCCCTCGCCATATACTGCACCTTAATAGCAGTCACAAACTTGGCCTAGAATCTGGTAACAAAGTAATCCCAACTCATTCCCTCAACAGAATCTACTCTCAAAGCATGACCAACCTCCTCCCACCAATTGCGAGCTCTATCCTTCAGTAGATGATGCAAACCTAACCTTTGACCCCTCAGGGAAGAAGCTCGTCCGCAAGGCATTCGTTATATCTACAATCCACTTCCTGCTAACAACAGGGTGCTTCTTCATGAAGAACTCAGGATCACCACGTGCATGAAAATCTCAAAAAGTAAGAGTGCGTGCTCCCACAATAGCCAAAATCTCAGTACAAAAAGCACCCAGACGCTCATCCACCAACTCTACGATCCCCTCATTGATGGTACCAAACATCACAAGATTCTGATCCAAAATACCACGAGTAATCTCTGACATGATACACTTCTGTATCCTCTCATCAATCGATCCAGTGCCAGAGCCTGAACTAGAACTAGTACCACCACCAGAGCTGCCACCATGTCGGGTAATCATGACCATACTAAAAGGTAACCACAAAAGATCAGATCATACCCAAATAATTCCTCATTCTACAAGCTTCTTAGAATCCTCGTGACTTTTGTTGATTCGAGTACTGATCCTATACTTTCATTAATACGAGTCTAATACTACCTTCCACAGATATCCATATTTTCCTCAAGAATATCCCAAATCCTCTAAGTCACCTCTTTATAATGATATTCACAAAAGTCGCTAAATAGCGCACTCATTGCACCAAAATACTTCATAGGCTCTCCTAGGGTTTCCACCCCACCCTTGTATCAGCTGTTGAAAGACTCCTACTAATGTTAGCTAACTACCTCATAAATACAATCACATGCAACAAAACTTAAATAATTTTTTGACTAAAAGATCCTGCACTAACAAGAGTTGCACAATAAAGCCAAATCAATTATTCTAAAACTATTTAACCTTTGCGGCATGTAACTTTACGTATTCATTTAATAGTTAACAAACATCAATTTAAGCCCTACAAAGCATAAAACAAGCAGCAGAACTATATTGGCAACAAGGCATCATAAATGCATCTCTCCTAATAGACATTCTAGCATGCAACCCTTATCAGATCCTTAGCCCTATTTTAGCATGAAATCCTCACAATCATACAAAAATATAACATTTCATGTATGGGTATTTTGGGAAATACTTACTTGATCTTGATGGATTGCACACATCGCACCCATTTTCCTTAAAACCCTTTTCGGAAAACTCATTTTCTTTTAGAAAGATTTTATTAACTCCTTAGTTTGAGTTTAGACACACCCGAGAGTGTGCCCGAATACCTCAAACCAAGGCTCTGAAACTAACTTGTAACGTCCCAAAAATACTAGCAAAAATTTTCATTTTCAAACCACCAAAACCATACAATCATTTGTTCCAAAGCCAACCAATGTTTAAATGTATTTCCAAATATCAAAGTAAATCAAAACAGATAATGCGGAAATAAACTCCATGGGATGGAATGCAATCACGTCGGGCCCTTCCATTTGGAAGTAGAAGTACCTGAAAAACATTTTAAGCATAAACCATAAGCACAAATCTTAGTGAGTTCTCCAAAATACAACATACCATACATAAGGTAGTGAATGTTATAGGCTGAATCATAGTCTTACAATCACTTCCTACCATTGATCAAATCATGGTCTTTCCTTGCAATATCGGTGGCCAAATCCTGGTCTTACATACAAGTGCCATTGGCCACATCCTGGTCTTCCATGCAAGTATCACAAAGACAACTAGCATCTTACAAATGTCAGGGCCAGATCATGGTCTTACATACAATTGCTAGGGGCCAGATCTTGGTCTTTCATACAATCGACGGGGATCAAATCATGGTCTTTCATACAATTGCTAGGGGCCACATTCTGGTCTTCCATGAAAGTATCACAAAGACAACTAGCATCCTACATAGTATAGTGAGAAAACTCACCTCTCTCTCGAAGTCAGACAAACCACAACTCAACGCCATGAAACTGCTGCTACAACCTACCTATCAAAACACCCTAGTGTACACTCTAGAACTAACAATTTGACCGAAAGTCAAAAATATCAAAAGTCAACGGTCAAAGTCAACATCAACTGACTTTCATGTCGTGATCAATCCATGGTCACATCGTTGGGAATTAACTCAGGCTCGATTAAAATCTCGGTTACGATCCAATTTAGTCACGGTCAATGCTACTGTCACGTTGTGATGGTCATGCAACCACGTCGTGACAGGATCCGTCCAAAAGAGTCGATGAACTCCCATCATCATGTCGTGGCCTCCAAATGGTCACGCCGTGAAAGCTGCTTTGGGACTGCTTAATGCATTAAGCCCCTAATCCTTTAAGCCACCCATTCTAATTTTCTAGAAGGTCTTCTTACTCCAAAAACATTCTAAAAATCGATGATTTATAGACATGCATGTCCAATGCATGCCTTGAGCTCATGATAGGTCAAAAATGATGAAAATGGAGCCAAAATCTCATTCATGAATTCAAAACTCAACGAAACTTCATTCCATAGCATATAACCTTTAAGGGATCTCAAGGGTCCATAAAGTTGCCAAGTTTATGGAATCTATCCATTCAAACTTCCCCAAATTAGGAAAAAAGGGACAAAAAGCATAGATCTAGAAGCCTAATGCATATAGATTGGAACTTGATTACTCACAAAGGTCTAGGAGATGCTCAAATGAAACCCCTAAGCCTGCCAAGATGCTCTCTACACTACAAAAGTCATCTTCTTCTTTCAAGAACCACCAACACCACCAAAAAGAGCTCAAAAAGGGAGGAGAGGGATTAAGGTTTCCTTGAAAGGGTTGGAGGCTGTAGAAGATGTCCTAAACCGTATATTTGGGGGGTTAAATATGGAAGAACCCTAAAAGATCCTAAGCTTGGGCTGCAACTATGTCACGTCGTGACCCTCCTCTTGCCACGACGTGACAACCATCCTAATACGTGATCACACATTTGGTATGCCACGTCGTGACAGCCTTGCTGTCACGTCGTGACATATGATTTTTCCTCGAAAACCATGTCCTTGACTATTTTCTATCATCAACTTATCTATTCTAGGAAACATGTGTTAAATTTATTGTCAGTATGCCTATGTGGCACCCTTTACCGACGGTGAACACCAACTCTTGTTTCCTTTTTTGCCGGCGGTAACATACCAGCGGTGAAGTATCACCGCCCTTGTTTCCTTTTTTGCCTTCGATAATATACTAGCGGTGAAGTATTACCGATTTCTCACTTCTTTTTTACCGATGAAAATATCTTTACAAATGTTGATATTCATTTTAAAATTCATATTCTTGCATATATGCTACTTTTAAATTAAGGGTATTGTTAAGTACTATTCCACTTTTTGTTTAAATTAAATATTATTAAAAGCAATATAAATTGTAATATAACAAAAGGTTTTAAAATATAGATCACGATAATAGCATATACCATACCAACCTAACGAATATGATCAAACTATTTTAGTAAATACAGTTACGTGGGTTTTAAATATATCTATTTTAATTAATATTTATGTTTAATGAAATTTATATTTTCTTTTAATTAATATTAATGGTAAATGTTGCATTTTTTTTAATTAAAAAAAAAATTGATAGACAAAAATATCACCATACCCACTAGGAGGTAAATCATGACAAAAATAGTAAAAATTTACGTGGCACCTATATGATATATTTTTTTCATAGGTAAATTAATTATACCACACCCTTTCCTAGTAAGAAATTAAGAATATCAAATTTCTAACATTTGTTTAACATAATATAGTAAAACGAAATACGCAATGACAACCAAATGCCAAGTAAATCAACTCAACGTACAGTTTTGACATCCTAAATAAACGGTATGTTACAACAAACTACCATATTTTTTGATAAATTCCCTTTAACCTCCTCTAATTATTTTCCACAAATTTTGAACTCAATCTTTTGATGCCAATCAATATTACTTTCAAGAAAAATCCTTTAACCCCTTAAAACATCTCTAATTTCTACCAAAGTCAAAAGTCAATCTTTTGCTTCTGACCAAGTGACACATTTCAATAATGATAGTCAAAACGTTGACTTTTAGTCAACATTTTGACTTTTGGGTCAAGCTTTGGGAAGTGGTTGGCCTTTTAAGAAGGACATAAGTAGTTGCAATGCTGCCCTTGGCTTGAAAAGTGGTACCTCATGACCTGCCCCTCTCACTGTTGCAAATGTAACTCCTTCATATACTTCTGTCCATCCTCCCACCTTCATAAAATAACGTAAAAGTCTTGTCATATGCATTGTTGACTTCCCAATATCTATAGTTTACAAAATTGGAAGATTTTGTTTTATTGGATCTTTAAAGTGTTTTAAAAACCGGTTTGAACCGGCCGGTCGAACCGGTTGGACCGGGAATCGGGGGAGAGAGCGGTTCAACTATCACCGGTTTTATGTCGATTTGTGAACCGAATTGAATCGGCCGGTTTTTAGAAAAGCCCGGTTGAACCAGTAAAAATAAACCGGTTGAACCGGTTAAACCGAATAAAAACACATGGGAAAGAACCATTTACATAATAAACTTTGGTGATTTTTTTCAAATCTATTTAGTTTTCTTTAAATAAAAACATATGGTAAATGTTATAATGTTTTTTGATGTGTTTGTATTTATTTAAAACTATATTTTGTTTCGGTATTATATTATATTTTCTTTTTAACGTATATGGATTGATGTAAAACACTAAAACTTATGGTTATGTGTTATTTTAATGTATTTTGATTAATCTACAACCTATTTTTATGTATATTTTTAATGTTTGAACTAGTAAACGTCTAATTCATGATTTATATATGTATGTATGTGTAGGAAATAGAAAAAAAAGATGAAAATTATAGAAACCGGTTGAACCAGGAACCGGTCACCATACCGGTTCAACTAAAAACCGGTTTTTAAAACATTGGATCTTTATCATTTGTTCATGGACAATATGCATTTATAATTTGTACTTTTGTATTAGGAATTTTGTGCATTGCTTACTTGTACAATAAGACTCGGTTGAGAATAGATACTATGGATGCATTGATGAGTTGTACATATGTGTTGAAAGAGTTAAACTAACCTGTTTCTTGACATACCAAGGGTACCATGGAACCTTAGTTTTCAACTTGAGTTGTGCTAGTGCATACCTAGTAGCTGTGACTGGAACCACTGAATCAACATCCCCACTACCATTTCACAAAATAAATTTATTAAGTAAATACAAATATTAAAAACAAAAATTGAAAATATAATGTAAGATACCTAAAGACCCAAATTCGTGATCCTGCAGCGATAAGTTCACGATATATGGGAAGAATTGACATATCGGTATCATTCCAATTACGATTCAAAGTCTCACTGCCAAAATATAAATACAAATCAGACCCATAAACAAGAAAAATATAGATTTTATGAGCAATCATATTTGATTTTTCACTAAAAAATATCTTTAGTATTGTGAAAATATGGAAAAAGTAACATGGTTTTTGTTAACGAATTCACCAAAACAACTATATAAATATAAATGTAAAAGAACCTGCAAGCAGTCCATCTATAAGGAATCCGTGTCGTATTAGCATGAAGTGCCTTTTGAACATCTTTTCTGTTATAATAAACCTCCGCGTACCTTTCTGTACACGGATCATAACCTGACATCTGTCTAAACGTCTGTAAAAAAACACATCAAAAAAGTTAAAATGAAATAAAGCCATTTAATTTAATAAGAAATAAACTGTAACAAATACCTGATGGGGCCGATGGGGCAACCGCATGGTTTGACGGGTCGCACCCGAGTGGCTACCATCAGAGTTGTTACAAGGGGGTGCATAAATGTTGTATTGGTCGATATTTCCAAACTCTTGATCCATAGCATAGCTATATAATGATTCACATTCGTTTGAATTCTTTTGACGTTTAAAATCACATGTGTTAATGAGTTGGTGATACGTTTTATCAGAGATCATAGCGTGACTCCACCAATATGTCACCGTTCCAAGGTTGTCATAGTAATAATCTGTCACCGCATTTCCCACCTACGATAAATTAAATTCATAAATTCATAAGTTCAAATTCTGTTTTTGTTGTACGTATTAACTCTATAAAATAAAATACCATAATTCCTTTAAAATTGATGGAACTGGAACTGGAACCGGATTTGGAATTGTGTCTTAAAATTTGTTGTGCCAGTTGAGGAACGTAGTGACCCGCATAACTTTCTCCAGTTATATAAACTTCACGGTGTTTATAACGCGGAAATCTCTCCATCCATCGAATCACAAATTGAAGTGAATCCTCAGCTGGAAAGAATACATCAAAAGGTCAAATCATAACTCTCACTTGACTTTTAATATCATAACACCGAATTTAATTAGAAAATATTCTTAACGTGTTTGTTTTGGTATGTATAAATGTTTTTGGAATGAATAAAATCTGTTAAATGAATTGGAATCTGTAGAACTGATAAGGGGTCCAACCAGTGCGACGATCGCCAGTGTCGAGTAGGTCAGAGGAGCGGTTGCTATACGAGAAACCAACACCGGCCGGAGTTTCGAGAAACAAGATGTTAGCCACGTTGTTCCATGAGAACTTGTTAACATGCAACCCTGAAGCCCCTTTGTTTATTCTAAAGGGTCCCACTTCTTCAGATGCACCATATGCTATAGAAGAGCAACCGGGACCTGTTAAATTCAAATATATATTAACATCAATTTTGATTTATATGTATTCTAAAGACAAGTCCAGCCTGGACGCTATAAAAATACCATAAAAATAGTGATATTTTAACCCCAAATAATTTTTTTTTTCCAATTGTAAATACATATTCGTAATATCAAACTAAACCAAAACATATTTGTTTAATATAATAATGATAACTTATGCTTCTCGTATTATTATTCGATTTTATTATAATATAACAATTATAATAAATAAGTAGCTACATATTAATTTTCAAAATATTTTATGTTATAAAAATTTGATAATATAAAAGTGACCATATTAATTAATGTATATTGAAATTCTTAAGAAGCATATTCAAAATTGGTTATGAAGATTTTCATAATGACATATTTTTTATACTATGAAGATTTTTGTAATGATCTGTTTTTTTATATAATAAATTACAGTTTAAATTGAATATTTGATGCTTTATATAAAAAAACAAATTATTCATCATCATAAAATTAGTTTATTGTTGGTTTTGCGGCTTGATTGGAGCAAAAATGAACCCTTGTTATGTTGCTAGGTTGGAATTGACCTTATTTATGTGTAACATGGGCATTAAAGATTAAGGATAAAATAGACATTTAATTAAAAGGATATGTGGTTGTTTATTTTCTTGAAACAATTAATGAGGATAGAAAATGACAATTTTATCAATAAATATCTGAAATTAAAAACAAAAAATTAATGGTTAAACAAATTTTAATCATTATTGATCTCTTAAAATTTTCAATTTAATAATAACTAAAAAAAAACTTTAATCGATAAAAATATAATAAAGTACACAAATTTAATATCTATTTCGGGATATATTAAATATGAAAAACACAAAATTCATACTATTGCAGTGCATTTCATCCTACGAACAGATGTACAAGTAATGACATGCATGTAGCAGTCAAAGAAACAGTAGCGTAAAATATGGACAAATAAGCAGAATAGGAATCATTAAATGACGACTGTTGAGGTTGCTTTCTAAGTTTACAGCAATTATATCCATAACAGGACAATAAAACTAATAAATAATATATATAATTTGGTACTCCATAAAATGTTATAATTTTATATTATTTGAAATACTATGACGTAATATAGGTTAAAATGGTCCTAGGATAAAGTTTGTCGTTTTTAGTGGTTTTAAATTTTTTTTTGACATTAATATAACGTCAACCGGTACAAAAAGTTATTAAAGTTGGGTGTTTTTTATTGGGAAATACTAGGACTTTTCCGAAGATTTCCCAATAAAAACACCCAACTTTAATAAATTTTATTTTTGGACTTATTCGTAAATTATGGTAAAATAATGAGACTTTAGTGAAACAGGTAAGTAATAAAACCGGTAAACCGGGAAAATATGATCAAATCGTCGTTTTTACCGGTAATTGAGACTTTTTCGTAAACAAATTTTAGTTTGGGAGTTTTTCATAAATTAGGGTAAAATATTAGGACTTTTACGAAGATTTCCCTTTTTTATTTACAAAACTTAACTTAACTATAATGGTTAAACAACATAAATAAGAATAATAACAAATTTATGTATTTTGCCTTTGAAAATAAAGTCGGTTTTTGATAAATATGTACTTAAAAATATTTATTATAAAAACTGAACTGTCACTCCTTAAAATAAAGACAAACTTAGTCAAATGGTCTTTTTGGTTAGTAGAAAATATCATTGCAATTGAAGAATCTTTAATATAGTTGGATCTTTTTAAGTTTAAAATAAGTCATTTTGACTAACATTGTTGGTTTTTTTAAGGTTTCAAAACCACAAGATGAGATATTTGTGGTTTGCAGAAAAGGACCTATCATATGCGATTTAAACCATCAAACATATTAAAAATTCATCAAAAAGACTTGAAATGGTATTTCTACCGACCATGAGGACCATTTGTGTAATTTTGTATCACATAAAAGTTATAATCATATGCAAAGTACCCTTATTCAAACGGTCAAATTCCCTAGATTAACTTATAGTAAAAAAGTGATGTTCTGATTTTTGCTTCTGATGTCATAACTTTGTTTGGAAACAAAAACAGGGCTGAATTCTATTCTCAGAATTTTCGGGTACCCAAACAGAGCAATAATTTCTAACCCTAAAAGGATTACAACAAATAGTTTTTTTCAAGATTTCACGTTTTTTCAAGAAAATATATTTATTACATCTACCCACTAATTAATATGGTAGCTAGATGCAACCATATTTCACTCTTTCTTTTGCATACCATTCAATTAAATTATTAAAAAAATTTAAAAAGTGCCATTTCAAGAATTCAGATTATGATCATATATATATATATATATATATATATATATATATATATATATATATATATATATATATATATATATATATATATATAGTAAAATTCAGTAATATAAAAAGATCTTTAGATATATAATCAGTATTATTATATAAAAATTCATCGTATTTAAATTTCAATGTATCTCTTTGCATATTATTAAAGAAAAGTATTTTTTTTAAGTAAAACCCATTTAAAGAATTTTTAGATTAAGATATATATGTTTAGTAAAATACAAAGAAAGATTTATTAGTTAAAAAAAATCCCGCAAACAAGCAATGTAACAGTACCACATTCACTTTTTCATAATTAAATTAATATAAAGAAGCAAAAAAGTATGCATATATGTATATGTAATATGTATGTATAAGTGTGTTTTTCATAATTAAGTTATATATACACATGTACATGTATATGTTTGTTTGTGTGTGTGCGCGTGTGTGTTTATATGTGTATGTGTGTGTGCTAAGGTGCTAACCTCCGTTGAGCCATATGACTAGGGGTTTAGAGAGAGGGTGGTCGGCGGCTTCAGTCAGCCAGTAAAAGAGGGCTCTTCCGGCGACTTTGTTGACGGTGACGTAGCCAGAAAACTGATGGAAAGAGACGTTGGGTTGGCCGGGAAGGGCTGTGATCCGGTCAGCTTCTTCTTCTTCATGAAGATGGTGGTTGTTTTGAAGGGTATTTTTGTCACTTGTGGTGAGTTGAAAAGCAAGAAACAAGAAAGGGAGTATACAAAATGAGGGAGAATTACGTAATTTCGCCATGGATTTTTGGTAGCAAGGAGCTTGGTTTCTAAAGAGAAGAAGCCAGAATGAGTGGGGGGTTGGGGGTGGGGGTAGGGGTAAGGGTAAGGGTGGGGGTGGGGTGCCCTCTTTCTGATGAGATTGTATTAAATAGGGGGGGGAGGGAAGGGGAAGGTTGGCTTAATGGCATTGGATGGGAAGGAATACCGATATTGTTTATGTTGAACAACATGTCTATATTGTTAATAGCATAATATAATTATTTGAATAAATCGATTTAAAAGATTGTATAACATGTTATATCTTTGAAACAAAATTGATGCATAGCCCGTCTTGGTAATGAGTTGTATCCAAAATCCAAATTGAAGGTATCGATGTTCGATGCTTGCTAGTACTTTCTGAAGTTTTTCCTATGAAATGTAGAAATTTTATTAATCTAGAATGACGTTACAAAGAAGAAAGAAAAAAAAACATATTATAAAGAAGCAATAGCAGTAATAGGGTTGTAAAGCAAATCAATTCAATTGATCTTAAACTTGGTGCTTTTATTAAATAACCGAATGAAATACCAAAAAACAATCTTAAAGAATAAGTATGTTTTCGTTTGTTTAACTGTTTCAAAATTTCCAAAGGACTAAAGTCGTAATTATAACTGCATCCAAACGTCTTCTTTGTATCACATTAACTCTCATGTGATCCATATTATAAAAGACCACGCCTAGCAAGAAACTAGACGGGTCACGAAGAGACAAACAAGTACAAATTTTAAATAATCAGACAATAGGAAAAAAAAGACAAAAACGTCATATTATAGGACATACACTACAATCGACCCATTGATACGGACAATTCGCTCTCCTGTGCTTAATCCACATGAACACCATATATTTAATATTGTCAGCCACTTTTGTCGGAGGAATATGGACATTTTTGAAGATTCTATCACACCTCGCGTTCCACATCCACCATAGAGTACCATAAAGAATGCTAATGAGATTGTTTTTTTTTCCGAGCAATTCCACCATGTGGCAGCGAACTTAATTATGTCCTTCACATACCCAAATTGATAACTAGAAATATTACACCACCTAAGGATCCATTCTCATACCGTAGCTGCAAACGGGCAATCGATCAGCACATGATCGACCTTTTCTTCTGCTTGTAGACAATAGCTACATGTCGAAGAGCTAGTGTGTATTCCACGTTTCACCAGTTAACATGATGTTTGAATACACCCAAGCTATATAAAACAAGACACCTTAATAGGAACTTCACTAATCCAATCAATAACACCATCAACAGAGAGTATTTGGGGCAATCGATTTTTTTTCTAAATACATCCACATAGTACGCGCCATCAACAGAAAGACAACACTTCCAATGATCATTCCTAGTAGATGGATGGAATGTACCAATTAAAGATGAGAGTACTGCCAGTTCCTGCACCTAATTAGCAGTGAATGTTGTCGATACCCAATCCCATGTGATTCCATCCATTTGAATTCTGTCAGTCACCTTACATCTTTTGTGTCTCTCCATTCGATATCACTCTGGGAATGCAGATTTTAATGGTGTTGTGTTGATCCACTTATCACTCCAGAATAAAGTGTTGTCTCCTTTACCCACTTACTTTACAATAATATCGTTTAAATTAATTCTAAAACTAAGCAGATCCTTTTATACCCCTGCTACATTGTTCCATACCCTAATAATCGACTTTTTTTATAAGCATGAAGCTAGTTTGTGCTTAAGGTTATGAATTCCTCTGATAACACGAACCCACAATAGTGAATTATTTACACTTAACTATCACCACCACTTTACAATTAAGGATAAATTTAGTGCTCGAAATGATCCAACACCAAGTCCTCCCATCTCCTTCGCGGATGTTACATTCTCCCAAGAAACCCCAATTAATTTTGTTTTTTGTATCACAACCACCCCATAAGAATTTACTCCGAATTTTTTCAAGCTCTTCAATAACCCCACTGGGGGCAACAAAAAGTGAGAAGTAATAGGTTGGGAGGTTACCTAGGACATCTTTGATCAATGTTAGCCTCCAACCAAATGATGGGGTTTTGGCTTTCCAAGAAGACAATTTGGCGTGAAATATTTCGATCATTGGTTTCCAGAATTTCTTAAGGTTAATGTTTGCATCTACAAGGACACCCAGGTAACTAAACGGTAGTGTAGCCATTTCACATCTGAATGGTGAGGCCCACTTGACAACTTCTTGTGTAGAAGCACCCACTCCAAAGACTTTGGATTTATGAAAATTTACTTTAAGACCAGATGATATATAGAAGCATCTAAGCATTCGAGCAAGGTTTTTTTATATTTTCCTTGCTCCATTCTCCAACAAAGAGATTGTCATCTTCGTATAATAGATGGGAGATGGATAACTCTTCTTGGGGAATCTTAACACCTGTGAATATACCTTTCTCACAAGCCATTTTCATTGCAACATTTAAACCTTCCATCACAATAATGAAGAGGAAAGGAGATAAGGGGTCATCTTATTTAACCCCCTTTTGCATAAAACATTCAGCCGTGGGAGCGCCATTGACTAGTACAGATGCTCTTACCGATTGTAAGCAACCTTTTATCCACAATCGCCACCTTGTATCGTACCCCATTTGGACTAGTAAAGAATCAAGGTACTCCCAATTGACAGCGTCAAAGGCTTTATCGTAATCCACCTTGAAGAGGAGTAGTTTATTCTTTACTTTCTTTGCCGAAAAACATAGTTTGTTAATAATGAGAGGTCCGTTAAGTATGTTCCTTTCTTCTACAAATGATGACTGCACCTCATCTGTGCCCCTTTTAAACGATTAGCAGATATCTTAGCAGTTATCTTGTATAAACTTCCAATAAGACTAATAGGCCAGTAGTCTCCAAGCTTGAGTGGATCTTTTATTTTCGGCACCAGCATGATGAAAGAGGAATTGCATCACCCTATCTAGCCTCCAAAATCTCTCAAAGTACTTAGCGAAGGATACAATGTCCGCATGTAGTGTATCCCAATATTTCTTAATGAAGCAGAATGTGAAACCGTTTGGCCCAAGAGGTTTTTTATTCCCACAGTCCCAAACAGCTTGCTTGATTTCTTCTAGTGAAAACGGTGCCTCCAGATTGATGATATCCTCATGATTCAGGGATCGAAATTTAGAGTTAATGAGCTTAGGTCGTGAGACCCACTTTTCATGGAATTTTTTTTGGAAGAAGTTGGAAGCTTTATTTTTTATTGCATTCATCTCAGTGTTCCATGTGTTGGGTTTTGAGCACTATAATACTCCTATGGTGCACATGCAACCCTAAATGCTTTGGATATCATGTTTTCTCTATTTATACATGCATTATCATTTTTCCAAAGCATTGTCCCTAACTAGCATACAATTGAAAAATTGAACAATATAACTAGTTAGATAACTTACCTCTTAGTAGGACTTGTAGTTCTTGACCTTTGAAAGCTTGAGCACCTCAAGTGTGATGCATCTAATGGTTCACAAACACCATATGAAAGAGGAGGCTTGAGAGAATAGGTTAGCAAGTTCAAAATCGTGTATCACTCTCTTGGAATGATGGGGCAACCGATTTTGGCTCTAGGGGACTCTATTTATAGTGTGACAAATTCTAGGATTACACTTTGTAAACCCTAATGCTCTTTCATATACTTAGGCTCCATGGGTTAACCTCCATGGACTATCCATGGATTATCTCATTGGTTTAGCCCATCCTAAATAACCACGGATCATTAGCCCACACTATTAGAATCATTGATTTACACAATCAATCCCCATATATTTAATTAGTCTCTTTTGATCACTAAATTAATTCCAAATTAATTCTTGATCAATACTAATTAAATTATATGATTTCATATTAATATATTATACTTGTAATATATTAATAAATCATAAATAACCTTATTCTCAAAAGTCCATCCTATCAAATTGCACTGATTAAGGCACCCCAAAAGGACCATGCTATAATCGGTTCAAGTACATACCGGTTATAGTTATGGGCTTAGACACTAAATCCAACAGTCTCCCACTTGGATAAGTCTAATAACTATAACTGCCGATGTAACTCTAGGATCCGACTTAGCAATCGTAAGCTTTCAAAAGCCTTTGTCGAACTCGGACCTAGTCAGTGCCTTGTCCTTTAGATAAGGGATCATATATTCCTCTGTTCTCAAGGTATCAGCCGGAAAATTACATGGAACAATGTCATACTTATTGTCCAGCAGTTTGTTTCCCGATTTCCGATTTGTTTGACATAGAACTTAACTGAACACATTAATTTAGTTCTGACCTGGCCCGACACATAAGTCAAAACAAAATCATCGAGGGGCCCAAGATATCGCTTTTAATCTTCTTAGGATAATAAAAGGAACATATAAACTTCGACATTATATGCTTGTACTAAGTACTCATTAAATCATGCACAACGATACGTTTTATAATATCAAGTTATTGATGCGTTTTCGTATCATCAATGCACAATCAACTCCTAGTCATTAACTCATATATCTTAGTTTGAAGATTATATGATATTATCGTCTCACGATCACTCGTGATAAATTCCATGAAGTGATTAAAGTGAGCGTGGGTTGAACCCAAGACTCGAATCTTATTTCAAGAGCACTCATGAATTGTGTAGCAAACTCTTGCTATGTCTAACGCCTTAGACAATCTACAAGCCACTTCATGACAATCTTCTTTCATACTTACTTACAACGTATGATCGACCGTGGATAGTTTGAATAAATCTTATTATTCTGGAAGTCAAAACATGCAAAGTGAAACATAAGAATAATACTAGTCCTATATGGCCCCAAAACTTTTGAGCGTAAATAAAACACCTTTTATTTGATCACCATATTGATTACTCATTATTCATAGTATAATGTTTCGATTGATCAAATTAATACTTGAATTAAAATAATAGTTATCCCATGCTCCAAGCATGCACACTATGTTTACCTATGGTCCTAACTCTGTGAAATAAATCAATTTGATTTCCAATTAAACTCATTTCACAATTCCAAATCTTTAAGTGTAAGAATACCAAATTCTTGCCACTATTAGAATGTGT